GGCCCTGTGGCTACATACAGGGTCGCAGGGGCGGCCGGGCCCCCTGGTGGGCCGGGCCCGGTCGCAGCCGCGACCCCGCGACCCTGGTATGTACGCCACTGCTTATTGTTCTTACAGTAAATAAACCTTTCATTTGCCTTAGACAAAATCTTCTTTCTTCCAGTCTAAACGCATGACCTCGTGTCATATGTAAAGTCCAGTTTGTGAATAGATTTCCACACAATGGTTTATATTGGCCCCGAATATATTTGTTTAATGTTATTATATCCCCTCTCAGGCGACGTTTTTCTAAACTAAATAATTTTAAATTTGTTAAGATTTCTTCATAGCTGATATGTTCCATTCCTTTTATTAATTTTGTAGCCCACCTCTGCACTTCTTCTAGTGCCATAATATCCTTCTTTAGAACAGGTGCCCAAAATTGCACAGCATATTCAATGTGTGGTCTTACCAGTGATTTATAAAGAGGCAAAATGATATTCTCGTCCCGAGAATGAATGCCCTTTTTCATGCATGACAATACCTTACTGGCCTTAGTCACTGCTGATTGACATTGCACATTGTTGCATAGTTTGTTGTCTATAACAATTCCCAAGTCCTTTTCATGTGTGGTTATCCCTAATTCGTTTCCATTAAGGGTATACGTTGCTTGTGCATTCTTTATGCCGAAGTGCATAACTTTGCATTTTTCAACATTGCCATTTGAGTGCCCAGTCCCCCAGTCTATCTAAATCCCTCTGCAGCAATAATACAATGTGAGTAATATCTTGCTCACATTGTATTATTTTACAGAGTTTTGTGTCATCTGCAAACACTGAATCATGACTTTCAATGCTTTTTTCAAGATCATTTATAAACATGTTAAATAGCAGGGGTCCCAGAACAGAACCCTGAGGGACACCACTTACCACCTCAGTCCAGCTTGAAAATTTACCATTAATGACAACTCTTTGAACTCTATTTTTAATCCAATGTTCTACCCAAGAACAAGCATTTTCATCTAGACCGATTTCCTTGAGTTTGAACACTAATCTATTGTGTGGAACTGTATCAAATGCCTTGGCAAAATCCAAATAAATCACATCCACTGCAACACCCTGATCTATACTTCTACTTACTTACTTCTACTTATGATGAAGTGGAGATTAGAGTTCTGGGTCCCCTCTTAATAAGTCAAGGCTGTAAGGGGCCGGGAACAGCATATATCTATAGCGGTTATCGCTATAGTTATTTGCATAGGCGGCCAGAACCCTTTATAGTAGATTGCGTTCACTACACACACTGCATCCACTTCACAAACACACACTTTGCATCCACTATACAGACACTGCATTCACTACACACACTGCATAACACAATGGATGTGGGTGTGTTTTGGAGGGCTAGGTTTAGGTTTTGGTGAAGGGGGCAGCATTTCACCCTTGGACCCAGGCAGCACAATGTATTGGGACGGCCCTGGTCATACTTGTATGTCTATTCTGTCATTTCCGAAACCATGTCCTTTATTATTTGATAATCAAATAGGAAAAGGTTTTGCCAATTAATGAGCGGAATTTGCTTGACAGTCTCCTTTATAGAGTATTTTGAAATGTATCTCAAATTTAAATCTCTTGAATTCCTGGTAAAATAATGGATTATTATCCCTAAAACAATGTCTTATAAAAAAACATAAAAAATGAATGCAATTTATTACATGTGAGTTTACAGAGGAAGAGGTTCTATTTCAACTGTCAAAAGTAAAGACCAATAAGTCAATGAGACCTGATGGAATACACCCAAAGTTATTAAAAGAGCTTAGTGGTGTACTAGCAAAACCATTAACATATTTATTTAACCAATCATTGTTAACAGGAGTAGTCCCAGAAGATTGGAAGTTAGCGAATGTTGTGCTCATTCACAAGGAGTCGGGCAACTATAGGCAGTAAGACTTAATTCAGTAGTGGGGAAAGTAATGGAAACCATGTTAAAGGATAGTATTGTTGAACATCTAAAAATACATGGATTTCAAGATAAGAGACAACATGGGTTTACTCAGGGAGATCATGCCAAACTAATCTTATTGATTTTTTTGATTGGGTAACTAAAATTATAGATCAGGGTGGTGCAGTAGATATTGCTTACCTAGATTTCAGTAAGGCTTTTGACACTATTACACATAGAAGGCTTATAAATAAATTACAGTCTTTAAGTTTGGATTCCAATATTGTTGAATGGATAAGGCAGTGGCTGAGTGACAGGCAACAGAGGGTTGTAGTCAATGGAGTATATTTGAAGCTTGGGCTTGTCACCAGTGGGGTACCTCCAGGATCTGTACTTGGACCCATTCTCTTTAATATTTTTTATTAGTGATATTGCAGAAGGTCTTGATGGTAAGGTATGTCTTTTTGATGATGATACTAAGATATGTAACAGGGTTGATGTTCCAGGAGGGATAAGACAAATGGCAAATGACTTAGGTAAACTAGAAAAATTGTCAGAGTTGTGGCAACTGACATTTAATGTGGATAAGTGCAAGATAATGAATCTTGGACATAAAGACCCAAGGGCAGAGTACAGATTATTTGTTAAAGTCCTAACCTCAACATCTGAGGGTGATTATTTCTGATGACTTAAAGGTAGGCAGACAATGTAATAGAGCAGCAGGAAATGGTAGCAGAATGCTTGGTTGACTAGGGAGAGGTATTAGCAGTAGAGTTGAGCGGACACCTGGATGTTCGGGTCAGATGGGTTCTGCCAAACGTCGAAAAAAAGTCTGGGTTCGGGCTCGAACCTGACCCCGAACCCCATTGAAGTCAATGGGGACCCGAACTTTTGGGCACGAAAATGGCTCTAAAAAAGTCCTGGAAAGGGCTAGAAGGCTGCAAAAGGAAGTAAAATGTGGGTAAGAGTAGGACAAGTGCCCTGCAAAACAAATGTGGATAGGGAAATCACTTAAAATAAGATAAAATACATAAAATAAGCAGCCGCTTAGTAGAACTCCCTAATTCCCACAGTATTAGGGAGCTATCTACCAAAAGGCTGAAAGACCTAAATTGGTCTTTCAGCCAAATTTGCTAATACGAAGTAAAGATTACTATTTTCCTCCCCCTGGCCCCCACCCCTGAGCGGTGGGTGGGGGCCATAAATAACAATAAGTGGGGGACCTACTGTCCTCCCCCCCGGCACCCTAAATAAAAATGTAACCCCCCCAGGTGACTAGGGGTCCCCAAACCGCGCAGGGGTGGGTGCCAGGTGGGAGGACAACAGGTCTACCCCCTTATTGATATTTAGGGCCCCCACCCACCGCTCAGGAGTGGGGGCCAGGGGGAGGACAATAGGTCCCCACCTTATTGATATTTAGGGCCCCCACCCACTGCTCAGGAGTGTGGGCCGGGGGGGGGCATTAGGTCCCCCCTTTAGTTTAAAAGCGCCCACTCACGCATCGCGGGGGGCTCAGGAGGGGGGAATGTTTTTTTGGTTTTTTTTTAACAGTGAGCAGCCACAGGCTCTAATTAACAGTAGAGAGAGGGAAGTGCTCATGCCATTGTACAGAACACTGGTGAGACCCACTTGGAGTATTGTACGCAGTACTGGAGACCGTATCTTCAGAAGGATATTGATACCTTAGAGAGGGTTCAGAGAAGGGCTACTAAACTGGTTCATGGATTGCAGGATAAATTTACCAGGAAAGGTTAAAGGATCTTAACATGTATAGCTTGGAGGAAAGACGAGACAGGGGGGATATGATAGAAACATTTAAATATATAAAGGGAATCAACACAGTAAAGGAGGAGACTATATTTAAAAGAAGAAAAACTACCACAACAAGAGGACATAGTCTTAAATTAGAGGGGTAAAGGTTTAAAAATAATATCAGGAAGTATTACTTTACTGAGAGGGTAGTGGATGCATGGAATAGCCTTACACTTGAAGTGGTAGAGGTTAACACAGTAAAGGAGTTAAAGCATGCGTGGGATAGACATAAGGCCATCCTAACTATAAGATAAGGCCAGGGACTAATGAAAGTATTTAGAAAATTGGGCAGACTAGATGGACCGAATGGTTCTTATCTGCCGTCACATTCTATGTTTCTATGAACATACAATTATGTATGTTTTAAAGCATATGAGCTAGTCGAATTGAGTGATAATTACAAACAGCTGATGTACTGCTATTTATTTTTCATCCAGTTTCTTCTGTTACCAAAGCCAGATGAGTTAGACAGGTTATGTCTTTGGCCTGAATTGATATAATTAATTCTGGAGTTATTACATCTAAGCTCCTTCCTGCAGGAGGCAGATGAGAACATTCTACCTATCTTTTACTTTAAACTTGACAAAACCTTTTTTTTAGCCCCTTCACGACGCTGGACGAAAAATTTACATAATTTACTAAGGTTAACGCCAGATCGTCACAGTTGCAGCAATCGTGGGGTTAACACTTTTGCTAGGTGCCTCAGGGTCCGAGGCAGAGCAGAAGCAGCCAACTGCGCTTACTGTCTTGCTGGGACTTCTGATCCCTTCTCTGTATGGAGAGAGATGGATTGTTACTGTTACATTGTGTGTCATTTCAGTTTAAACTGTAGCTATTATCTTTATCTAAAATCTAATTTAACCCTTTCCCTTGCCCTTTTGATTACTCCCTGCAGTGATAAGTATACTGATCATGGTATTTAACTGTGATCTAATTCATATTTTTACTCTCAGGGGTTAATTTTGATTACTTTTAACCCTCATGGGTTACATTTGTTTTAATTTGTTATTTTATTAGTTTTAAATTGATTATTTAGTTAGCTGGATTGGGTGGACTTCAGTGGAAAATTGGGGAATTGTGTGTTAGGCTAGTTAGGGACGAAACGTTTTAAAAAAGAAAAAGTATTAAAAAAGTTTTAAAAAACGAAGTTAAAGTTACAGCTTGACAATGTCTAGAAGGTTCACTGCTATAATATTTTAGCAGCTGACTTTGAGACAACAGATACTGCCTGTACATATTGATGACTCTTTGCCAGACACTGTAGGGCAGGGGTAGGCAACCTTCGGCACTCCAGATGTTGTGGACTACATCTCCCATAATGCTCTTACATTCATAATGCTGACAAAGCATCATGGGTGATGTAGTCCACAACATCTAGAGTGCCAAAGGTTGCCTATCCCTGTTGTAGGGCCCTTTGTTGAAAGCACAGAGTCCCCTGACACATCTCATGGCACTGGTGACTGGGAACCCCCTAATGATTTTATGCCTAACATCCCAGAGTTCACTGGCAGCCCTGGAATTCAGGTGGACTATAGGTGGAATTCAGATGGACTACAGTACACTCGATTTCATGCAGCTATACTTGAGGGATAATATTTTGGGGGTAGTATCTTGCACATAATGTCTTATCACCAGGAAAGGGAGATAATACCCCATCAGTGTGCCAGAATTGAAAAAAAAAATTCTGGGCACTGACTGCTAATAGGCATTTTTAAAAATACCAGCATCAGGATGTATTGGTCCAAAAACCCAGTATGCAGCACCCCTATTTTCTCCCAAACCATGAATAGGCCCAGGTACGAAGTTATACTGCATTTTTTTACACTTCAGAGACAATTCAAAGTGCCCCCCAAAAGGTAATCCGTAGTACGATAAACTGTCCAAGATTTGCCCCTTAATTTTCCACTTCAGCAAACAATTTGGCTCAATTTACACCACCCTAAAATAGATATATATGTGTATATATGTGTATATATAGAAGGCTTGGCCTGTAATTGTGGGAGGTACATTATTCCCTATTTAAAGCGCAGTAAGCCCAGCTTACCTGTCGTCGACGTTCCCGGAAGTGCTTCGATCTTCTTCCGGTTCACGTGATCCGGACGTGGCAGTTGGATTGAATCTTCATTTCAGGGTTAATTCAGAGCAAGAAATTTACTCCAAATCGAGATCCGGCCGCTATCGGGTGCCTAGCCGCTCCACAAACAGTGATTTGTCTAACGGGCGTCTCTCAGGGTCCCAGGCAACGAGCTACATACAGATTGCCCCCCACGTACTCACAGGGTGCTCGGCATATAAAGGGATCCCCTTTGATAATTGCCGCGTACCGGCTTCGTTTTACTGATCAAATAGATCAATACATTACCCCCTATACTTACGTGCGGGCCTTGTTCATGGTCATCTTCCTATTCCGGGCTGCATTCGGCTATTTCATTCACAGCACTGCTAGTCCCTGCATCTAGGCTTGTTTTAACTTTCAAATGCCAGTCAGTTTGTATGGCTAAATATCGCCACCTTGTGGCTTTGTTCAATATTGATTGGAAACATTCAATTAATGTATGGCTAACATTCATTTATTTTGCAATTGTACTTTCATTGCTCTATTAGTAAATTGCATATGGGTTATAAACTGTCATTTATTTTAACCTGCTGGTGATTCACTTGCGTCAGTGGTTTTTCCGTTAATGCTACGCTAGTATTAAATAGTTCACCCATTATAAAATTCTTTACTGTGTTCATTAGTTGTTATATAGGTAATATTATGCTCAACTCGTTCTTGTCCTGACGTTTTTTTCCCGCCCGCCGGCAGTCCGTTTTCAAACTCTCTCAAGCATTATACTCTTGTTGTTAAATAAATACTCTTTAGGTTTCAATAAATCAAACGCTTGATTACAGTAAATTCTACAACCTATTACAAAACTAGTCTTACTTATTCAGCATTAGGAATATAAATATTCTGTTTCTAAACTCTGCTAATGCCATAATCCTCCGTTTACCTTACACAAGCCGCCACAATTCGTGCAATCAAGCATTTCGTGTTAAACATTTGCCTACTCAGGGGATTATTAGGTGTCCATTCACAGAAATTCAGTTAATTAACCCTTTCGTTACATTTATACACTTCATAGCAGCTTTTCGGTTGTTTTACGCAAAACACACTAATCTCATACCCATCTCTTGTTCCTCTAAATCCTCCTTCAATACTGCCCTCTGGAACGCACGCTCTGTTTGCAATATAACTAAATCCACTGCTGTCCATGACTTCTTCATCTCTCGTTCAATAGATTTACTAGCCTTAACAGAAACCTGGCTCTCCCCCTCTGACACTGCCACCCCTGCATCTTTGTCCTTCGGTGGTCTCCAACTTACCCACGACCCAAGAAACTCTGAATGTAAAGGTGGTGGTGTTGGGTTTCTCCTCTCCCCTCACTGCTCTTTTAAACCTCTTCCCACCCCCCTTCCCTCTTTTTCCCATCATTTGAAATACACTCAATTCGCCTTTTCAAACCCTTCTCTGCTAACATTGCTGTTATTTACCGTCCCCCTGGTTCCCCTCTTCTCTTCCTTGACCACTTTGCTGCCTGGCTACCCTATTTCCTCTCTTCTAACATTCCATCCCTAATTCTCGGGGACTTCAATATTCCTATAAACCCACCTTTGACCTCTGCAGCCAATAAACTACTTTCAATTACTTCCTCCCTCGGGCTATCACAGTGGGCAAATTCTCCCACCCATGTAGCTGGCAATACCCTTGACCTAATCTTCACTTATGCATGTACTGTATCTAATATCTGCAACACTCCGCATCCACTCTCTGATCACCACCTCTTATCGTTTGCTCTCACGTACCCCCTCACCCAACAACCTCTGCCTAACCAGCCTCAACTCTGGAGGGACCTTAATTCTCTTGATCTCCAACAGTTGTCAGCTGACATTGATTCACAACTGCTGTCCATCCCTTCCCTCTCCTGTCCTTCACTGGCCATCTCCATATATAACTCTACTCTGCATCTGCCTTGAACACTGCAGCGCCACTCCAAACAAGCACCTCAAGGAGGACCCGCCCCCAACCATGGCATACTAAATCAACGGGCTACCTGCAAAGATGCTCCCGTTGTGCTGAACGCTCCTGGAGGAAGTCTCGCACCCAGTCAGACTTTCTCCATTATAGATTCATATTGTGTTCATACAGTGCAGCCCTTGCCCTTGCCAAACAGTCCTATTTTTCCTCTCTCATTAGCTCATGTTCCCGCAACCCCAGGCGTCTCTTTGACACCTTTAATTCTCTTCTTCGCCCCGCTGTGGCCACCCCCCAAACCAACCTTACTGCTGATAACTTTGCATGTTACTTCACTGACAAAATTGAACATCTAAGGAAAGAATTCTCCCCTCCTTGCCTTTCTGTTTCTCAATCATAGAAACATAGAAACATAGAAACATAGAATGTGACTGCAGATAAGAACCATTCGGCCCATCTAGTCTGCCCAATTTTCTAAAAACTTTCATTAGTCCCTAGCCTTATCTTATAGTTAGGATAGCCTTATGCCTATCCCATGCATGCTTAAACTCCTTTACTGTGTTAACCTCTACCACTTCAGCTGGAAGGCTATTCCATGCATCCACTACCCTCTCAAAGTAATACTTCCTGATATTATTTTTAAACCTTTGTCCCTCTAATTTAAGACTATGTCCTCTTGTTGTGGTAGTTTTTCTTCTTTTTAAATATAGTCTCCTCCTTTACTGTGTTGATTCCCTTTATATATTTAAATGTTTCTATCATATCCCCCCTGTCTCGTCTTTCCTCCAAGCTATACATGTTAAGATCCTTTAACCTTTCCTGGTAAGTTTTATCCCACAATCCATGAACTAGTTTAGTAGCCCTTCTCTGAACCTCTCTAAGGTATCAATATCCTTCTGAAGATACGGTCTCCAGTACTGTGTACAATACTCCAAGTGAGGTCTCACCAGTGTTCTGTACAATGGCATGAGTACTTCCCTCTTTCTACTGCTAATACCTCTCCCTATACAACCAAGCATTCTGCTAGCATTCCTGCTGCTCTATTACATTGTCTGCCTACCTAAGTCATCAGAAATAATCACCCCTAAATCCCTTTTCTCAGATGTTGAGGTTAGGACTCTATCAAATATTCTGTACTCTGCCCTTGGGTTTTTACGTCCAAGATGCATTATCTTGCACTTATCCACGTTAAATGTCAGTTGCCACAAGTCTGACCATTTTTCTAGTTTACCTAAATCATTTGCCATTTGGCTTATCCCTCCTGGAACATCAACCCTGTTACATATCTTAGTATCATCAGCAAAAAGACATACCTTACCATCAAGACCTCTGCAATATCACTAATAAAAATATTAAAGAGAATGGGTCCAAGTACAGATCCCTGAGGTACCCCACTGGTGACAAGTCCAAGCTTCGAATATATTCCATTAACTACAACCCTCTGTTGCCTGTCACTCAGCCACTGCCTTACCTATTCAACAATATTTGAATCCAAACTTAAAGATTGCAGTTTATTGATAAGCCTTCTATGTGCAACAGTGTCAAAAGCCTTACTGAAATCTAGTTAAGCAATGTCTACTGCACCACCCTGATCTATAATTTTAGTTACCCAATCAAAAAAAAAATCAATAAGATTAGTTTGGCATGATCTCCCTGAAGTAAACCCATGTTGTCTCTGATCTTGAAATCCATGTGTTTTTAGATGTTCATCAATCCTATCCTTTAACATGGTTTCCATCACTTTCCCACTACTGAAGTAAGGCTTACTGGCCTATAGTTGCCCGACTCCTCCCTATTACCTTTCTTGTAAATGGGTACAACATTCGCTAACTTCCAATCTTGTGGGACTACTCCTGTTAACAATGATTGGTTAAATAAATCTGTTAATGGTTTTGCTAGTACACCACTAAGCTCTTTTAATAGCTTTGGGTGTATTCCATCAGGTCCCATTGACTTATTTGTCACACATAGATCATGCCTTTCCTACCCTTCAGACATTCTCCCCAGCCACTGACCAAGAGGTGGCTGCTCTTCTTTGCTCCTCTCGCCCCACCACTTGCCCGCTCGATCCTGTCCCATCTCACCTTATCAGATCTCTCTCCACTTGTCTCTTGCCTTCTCTAACACACATCTTCAACTGCTCGCTCTCTTCTGGCATCGTCCCTGCTGACCTTAAACATGCCACTGTAGTACCTATACTAAAAAAAACATCCCTCGACCCGTCCACCTCCTCTAACTACCGCCCCATATCCCTGCTCCCTTTTTCCTCAAAGCTTCTGGAAAGACTTGTCTTTACCCGTGTGTCTCATTTCCTCAATTCCAACTCTCTCCTTGACCCCCTTCAATCTGGCTTCCGCCCTCTCCACTCTACAGAGACTGCCCTTA